CCCACTGGCTTATGGGCATCCTTCCAACCACCCTACTGGGCTACACTTGCTACCCTTTACAATCCACGAAAGAATGTCTTGGTGCTGTATGTCTATTTATAGCTGGATCATCCCCACAGGTGTTTAGGGGAAAGATGGCTGACTCTCAGCAGAGAAGAGAGATCCACGTGAGAAGTTAGAAATAGCAGAGCCTTGCTCGGCTTTGGTGACGAGACCCAGCAGCCAGGGGCTCCTGGACACCTTTCCTACAGCTTCAGTTCCTGTCTCCGAAAAAGGAGAACAGCATTTAATATGCCTTATTTATCTACGACGAAAGAGGTGATCACAGAGGTCTCCAGAGAGTCAAATGTCTCAAATGCATGAATCGTAACAACATCACCTTTAATTCCTTAACCTGAGGAAACAGAGGCAGGTCGTGGGCCCGCCCACAACAGAACTGGCCCAGACTCCAAAGTGGCAACGTCATGACAAACAAAAACGGAGAAAACATCCTAGACTGGGGGAGTCTGGGGTGAGCAGACAAGCAGTGTGGGATGCAATCTTGGATTGTCTCTCAGATTCACAAAAAGGCCCTGGAGGACATTTTTGGGATGACATGGGTTGCGTCTCAGACAATATCATTGTATGACTGCTAAACTTGAGGGTGATAACAGCACTGTTACCAAAGAGAATGCTTTTGCTCCTGGGAGAGAAACAATTTTTCCCTTTGGCCGAACCACCTAAAAGTTGCAGACGTCACTTCATCCTCCAAATGCCCCTGGGTATGAATGTCGGTGGGGGTGGGGGGCGGTTTAAGCAAATGTGACAAAGTTCTGAAGGCTGGTGAGTCTGGGTGAAAGGGATATGGAAGTTTTCTGTAAATCTGGCATTTTCACAACAGAAAGTTGGGGCGATAGGGAGGAATCATGGTAATAGGTTTCCCTTCCCCCGCCCCCAAAACAGCAACCTCTACTAAGGTGTGCTCAAGAAATAACCACATAAAATGGACGTATGCACAGGGCCTTGATTTGCACGATGACCACCCTTCCTGATGCCTCTGCCTACTCACTCGCCATCTTCCCAGCTCCCAGGATGCTGCCAAACAAAATGATTTTGGGTTTTCAATTTTGTGGCTCAACCCTCAGATGTGCCCAGAACATCAGGCCAAATGTCTTCATCGGTCAAATTGACTTTGTGCTAAATGCTCACAGATTCAGCCCAAATTGGCCCATTGTGTGGATGAGGAAGCTACAGAGGCCCAGGGAGGGGAACGGATTTCCAGGAGCCCAGTGAAGCTGGAGGTGAGAACCGGGTCCCTGTCCTGCCAAACTTTCCTTGCCTGGGTTACTTCCGGGATCCCCCACAAACCATGACTCTGTAAGAAACACACGTCAGCCACTCCCAGGCAGCAGGCCTGCATGTGACAGACCCCACATCCCACCCCTTTCAGGGTGAAGATACAATTCACTGGAGTGTTGGACAGACGATACCGCCCATCCCACCAAGAGAACAGACATAGTCCGGCACAGGCCCCAGACCCCACGCCTCTGTGGATGCCCTTAACGGGTACCCTAATTAGGGCCTATTATTTAAGAAGAAATGGGGCCGAAAACCTCAGTGATGGGTGGTTTTCCTTCTTTAATCATTTTTACCTCTCTCACCTTCCCCTCCAAACTCAGTGTGCACAACGAATGCCTCCAAACCGTTCTTCCCTCCAGCTTCAAACCGCTAGTGACCAGGAATCACTAGGAATCGCTAGGTATCAAGGCTTTCAGATCTGGAGGCAGAGAAAAATGACCTGCCTGGGCTTATCTGCAGGTTTCCAAGTCACCATCCAGATATTCTCCCAACCGAGGCCCCGTGTGCAGAGACCAAACGACGGTGCACCGAGATTAAGCAGTCAACTCACCCTTTCCTACAAATGGGTTTTGACGAGCACCTGCAAAGCCAGGCCTCCTGGGCAGCAGTCTGCATCCATCTGCTTCCTCTGCTGGAAGGATTAGGGACCCATTGGGGATTCCTGGGCTGCAGGTGATCTGCTGTGATCATTCCAAAGTGCAGGTACCCTCTTCCCAATTGGTGATGCACAGTGGAGCACGACAGATGCTTCAGAGAGAGTATTTAAATTTAGAGCACCAGGCAGCCTGCTGTGTTTAAGAGGCTGCTGCCCGAGTTTCAGGACAGAGTGGTGTGGATGGAAAGAAGTGCTCCGATCCCAGCTCTGGGGCTAACTGGGTATCTCAAAAGCCAAACAGGTTGGTTCACTCCTATGTAAAGAATCTAGTAGACCAATGGCATGACAGCACCTTCCACCCAGGATGGATGTCATAAAGATCAAAATGGGATGGTCTGTAGAAAGCACGGCACTCAGAGCTGCTGGGCTAATCGGTATCACTGCCTACCTTCCTTTTGTCTTTGATGGAGGGGATGGATTGAGATCTCCTAGTTGGAAAGCATTCAAGTGAGAGTCCAAAATCTCTTTGAGTATCTATGTGGCATGTTGATTTCTAGACCCCCACCAGGGACCACGTGGCAGGCCAACCTCCTGTGATGCTGGTGGAATGTGGCTCTTCCTCAGCTCATCCTAACAGAAGTTGGGGCCCAAATTCAAACCGCCTGGTGAGATTTCTTCCCCCTCCCTGAGCGGGTGTGGTCAACTGGAAGAAGGGTGTGGGAAACCTGGGCTGAAAGAAAGAAATCATCAGCTGTGAGGGGGGAAGAGAGACCTGGGTCCGAGATGCTGAGAAGTCCAGCAACAAGGACTGTTTGGAGGGTGTGACAGCAATGACGAAGCAGCCAGGAAAGCAGGAGCAGGATAAACAAGTGGGAAGACCTAGGTTCTGGCTGTGGGGCCTCAGATTCGTGTCCAGCCTTTCTGGACCTCGATTTCCTTTCCTGATGATGAGGGACCTCAGCGAGGTGACTCAGACTAAGCATAAGCATCCCCCTGGCTTTTGAGGATTCCAATGCTGATGGGGTGGGCCAAGCTCTAGGTGGTAGATGCCCCAGGCCTGCTTTATGAAGAGACGAGAACCCTGGAGAACTCCTGACTCAGCGCCCCCATCAGACCACCTCACCCGATGCACCTAGAGGACTCCTTGGCCAGACGGCGTAGTAGGGAAGAGCTGGACCATCTGAGAAAAAGGACATCACAAGGGAAGCAAACCGAGGTTCCCCTCCACCCCCGAACGCTCTGAGCATAAACAAGGATGTTTACCTTTGGAACAGAAGACTCGGTACATGTCCTTCAGGGGCTGAGCTAGTAGCAAAGGGCAGGGGGTGGGGGTGGGGGTAGGATATGGAACCAAGAGAAATTCCAAGTTGCTTCAGAGACTTAAGTTGGTGGTCATCCCGCAAACACGAAAGACTTCATCTTACCATCCTTAATCCTACAAAGAAGAGCCAGCTCTGTGGAAAGAGAGATTATGGGATGTTTTCTAAGCTCCCTGCGAAGGGAGGAGCTCCCTGTCACTGGAAGCATTCAAGCAGAAGTAGGTCACTTTATGACCACTGTACACTGGTGAGGGGACCAGTTCTGAGTGAAGGGTTGAACCCGTGTACCTCTAACTGACTCTAAAAGCCTGGTACACTTACCTGTGGAGAAAGAGATGCAGGTTCCCTCATCTGAGGGCTGAATGAGGGTGCCATAGTGTGGTGGGGTCAGCTTCTTGGACACTTTTGGGGTCCAGACTGAGACTAATGTCTCAGTTCTAGCAAAGACCAGCGCTCTGACGTTGAACAAATCACTCACCCTCTCAGTGCCTCTCTCTCTCTTTATAGATCAAAGATTATCCGCTCCTGAGCAGCCCAGCCAAAGCCCATTGCTGTCCAAGAGCTGGGAGAACTTCCAGTTTTTGAAAAAGGGAAGTGAGGATGGCTGATTTTTAGAAATGGCCGAGACAGTGATGAGGGAAATGAAGGTCCCCCCCACCCCGTGAATCTGGAGGTGAGACTTTGCTTTATTCCTGTCATGGAAAGGGCCTCCAATGTGCTATGTTCTATAGGGCGCCCCCCCCCCCCCCCCCCCCACCCAGAGAAAATGCGACTCCTCCTTTGGC